AGAGGGGCGAGACCCGGCGGCCCTGCGCGCGCTCGCGCGGGAGCTCGCCGCGTACGTCCGTGACGCCTTTGGGAACGCGACGCGGCTGGACTACGGCACGGGCCACGAGCTCCACTTCTTCCTCGTCCTCTTGATTTGCCTGGAGGAGAGCGGGGATGCCGGGGGGTCGTTGCGGGACGACGGCGGGGCGGTCCTCGTGCCGTCGGAGGTGGGGCCGCCGAAAGGGGTGCCGGCGGAACGCCGCGAGGCCGTCCGGGCGCTCCGCCGTGAGTACGTCCTGCACGCCTTCCCCGCCTATTTGAGGCTGGTACGGCGGCTGCAGCGGCATTACTCGTTAGAACCGGCGGGCTCGCACGGGGCGTGGGGGCTGGACGACTACCACCACATCCCGTATATCTTCGGGGCGGCGCAGCTCATCGGGCAGGAGACCGCCACCCCGCCAATCCTTCCCGTGGATGTCTGCAGTAAAGAGAAGGTCAAGGCGTATGAGGGGGAGTACCTGTACTTCTCGATGATCATGTGGATCTTGCAGAACAAGGCCGGGCCGTTTTCGGAGCATAGCAATATGCTGTACAACATCTCTGGCGTCGAGAAGTGGGCGAAGGTGTACGGCGGGATGGTCAAGATGTATGCCGCGGAGGTGCTGGCGAAGTTTAACGTCACTCAGCACTTGCTATTTGGCCCTCATTTGCCCTGGAATACGAAGACACTCGATGAAAGCCCTTCGGTCGAGAAAAAGTAACCTCACTAAGAAAGAAGGCGAATCCAACGAAAAAAGCGCACGTGTATATACATACGTATCAATATATATATATACATATATATATATATATATCGATATATAGCGGAGAAATTTCATGGAGCTCTTGAAAAAAGGTGGTTTCAGGGAAAGGGAGGGTCAGGTGCTTTTTTCTTTAGACATGTAGGAATGGAGATATGGTTGTTTTTATTTGCTTAATGGTAAAAAGGGGATTCGAATTAGGAGACAGGAGTCATATCTATGTTTCTCATACTTTCATTTTGGCGAAGTTTTCTCTCTTTTTTTTTTTACAGTGCCTATATCTATTAATGCTTTGTAAAGCCTATAATGAGGTTGAACAGCATGCTTTCCTCCTGTGCTTTTTCCACTAATAACATGGCCGAATCTGAAACCTAAGGAATAGAAGGGAGCGCACACATACACGCGCGAATAATTATATATATATATATATATTTATTCGCGCGAGGATGATCTTCCATACCGGGGTATATAAGTCCCAAAGTAGAATGCATGGAGGCCACGCTAATGCTTCCTGCTTTCGATTCGCGCACTAGGGTAGGGCTCGACGTATGGTTAGTCGTGTGGAGGGCACAAGTGGACGGGTCAGTTGAGTATCGTACCCGCATATACTGTTCAAAATATGACGTGAATAGAGTGATGGGATCCAATACTATATCTAGTGAAAACTGTAATAATTGTAAAACAAAAAGAAAAATATCAGACCCCCCCTCTCTCCTCCCTTTTTCCTATTTGCTTTATTATACTTTTCATTGCACATGTATTGTTCTGTAAAGGGCTTACAATGGTGCACCATATCATCGACTGATGGGGTTTTGTTCATGATGATAGATAATCGAGAAAGTTTAGTTAGTTTCCAGGGTCGATGGTTACGGAGCACAACACTGAAAAGATAATTAACAATGACCACCACCACGCTCATTAATTCCTCTTCTCAAGTGCCTTTAGGACTTTAGTTAGTCTTTTTAAAAGGGATCCCTTCACACGTATCTAGAGTCACCGGCTGGCATTCCTTTCTCGACTCGGATACCACAGAAGCAGGAGCCATCAGTAGCCGCACAGGGGAGGACGTTCAGCGCATGCCGTTGCGCTTCTTTCCCTACTACCAATGCCGCGATGGCAATGACGGGATCGATCCTGTCGGGGCGGGCACCGACCGATTGTTTCTCCGACGGCGCTGTTTTTACCCCGCGCCTTTTCTCATCGCGGCGTTGGAGCCCGCGTGGGTGGAGGCGATCACGCGAGAGTTGGAGGGGGGGGTGGTCGCGCGCGCCGCCGCGAGGGCGGTCGACCACCAGCAGCTCCCCCTCCCTGTCGGGATGGCCCCGCCGGACGGGAAAGGGTGGGCGCGTGAGCAGCTCGCGGCCGCCCGGCGGGGAGGAAGCCTGACGAGGAGGCCCTCCCCCCGTCGTACGCGCGCCCCTTCCCCCCTACCGGCGATCCCTTCTTTCCGAGGCAATCCCCCCTCCCTCCCTCTGCGCCCGCTTCGCGTATGGCGGGCGTGGTTGCCGCCGTCGGCCCCCCTCCGGGCCTTCCTGGAGGTGGGGTGGGGCTTCCCCCGCGGCCTGGGGGGGGGGTGGCGTCCTGCGTGCGCGGAAGCGAAGGCAACAGGGACAGGAACAGAGAGGGGGACAAGGACAGAGAGGGGGACAAGGACAGAGAGGGGGACAGGAACAGAGGGTGGGACAAGGACAGAGAGGGGGACAAGGACAGAGAG